TGACATCATAAAATTAACCCATTTTAACCATAAAATTTAATGATTTTTAGTTACTTTATTGAGTTGTATAATTATCACCATAAATCAGTTTTAGGACATTGTCAAACATGCCCCCTAAGGTCCTTCATGGCCATTTTTAGTTCCCACCCCAGCCTAGGCAACCACTAATCTACAATTCAAATAAATGAAATGTACAATATTTGGTTTCCTGTGGCTGGCTCCTTTCACTTAGCTTAAATTTTTTATTAAATTTTTAATATATGTTTTTATTGATTTCAGAGAGGAAGGAAGAGGGAGAAAGTGATAGAAACATAAATGATGAGAGAGAACCATTGATTGGCTGCCTCCTGTACAACCACTACTGGGGATCGAGCCCACAACCTGGGCATGTGCCCTAACCGGGAATCAAACCAAGGACCTCTTGGTTCATGGGTTGAGGCTCAATCACTAAGCCACTCTGGCTGGGCGTTAATGGTTCCTTTTAAAGTTTACTCATTATTTTTTATTTTGTCCTCAAATAATGGTGAAAGGGGGATTATGGTATGGGTGGCCAGAAGTAAAATGTTTCAGTTAATTAATCCTTGTCCATTAATTCTAGTTAAAGGTTTCAAAGAAACACCATACAATAAACATTGTTTTATATATTTACTTCACCATTCTTGTCCTCAGAGAGCTCACTGTGCAGAGCAGAGCTGTCCAATAGGCTAGCCACTAGCTCCTCTACCCGTTTAGTACTTGAAATGTGGCTAGTGATGTGCTGTAAGTATAAAATACACACTAGTTTTGAAAACTTAGTATAAAATATGTAATTATTTCATTTATAATTTTATATTGAGTATATTAGCAATAATATTTTTGATATTGGGATAAATAAAATATGGGATTAAGATTAATTTCACCTCTTTTTTTTCACTTGCTTAATGTAGCTCCTAGCAAATTTTAAATTGCACATGTGGCTTACATTATATTTTTTTAATATATTTTATTTTATTTTTTTACAGAGAGGAAGGGAGAGGGATAGAGAGCCAGAAACATCAATGAGAGAGAAACATTGATCAGCTGTCTCCTGCACATTCCCTACTGGGGATGTGCCTGCAACCAAGGTACATGCCCTTGACCGGAATCGAACCTGGGACCCTCGAGTCCACAGGCCGACGCTCTATCCATTGAGCCAAACCGGTCTGGCTACATTATATTTTTATTGGATATCACTGGTCTAGAGTCAGTAAGTGTTTGTATACTCACAGATACTGTAATGATTTTCATAATTTAAAAAGGAGGAAATTAAACTGCAGTTATATCCTCTATTCTGTTGTTTCTTCTTATGGGAATAAAGTGTGATGAATAATCTAATTATACTAGTAAATTATGATGGGTTGCCTCCTCTCTGATTTCTCTATTTAACTGTTTACAAAAGATTGTAGTTCCTTCCTTATGCCTTTGACATTTTCATATAAGTTAAAGGAAATAGGATTCTTGTATTTTAGAATATTAGCACTTAAGAACTGATTTGATTATAGAAGGGAGTTAGAGGTCCAATTATCTAATTTTGCTTTATTCTGAAAATATATTTTAACAGAAGTCCCTTATCTAAAGATAAAATTTGCTTCATCAATTTTTTTTCATTTCCCCCCCTTACCCTAAAAAGGGCAGTTCTCATCCTAGTCAGTTTGGTTTCGTGGATAGAGCATTGGAAGGGTCCTGGACTGCGGGCTCAATCCCCAGTGCGGGGCGTGCAGGAGGCAGTTGATCAGGGATTCTCTCTCACCATTACTGTTTCTATCCCTCTCTCCCTCTCCCTTCCTCTATGAAATCAGTTAAAAAATAAAAATAAAGAATATGGGCCCTTTATTTTTTTAAAAGGCAGTTC